GTTATTTACCAGCAGCTGCTGCTCCTGGGATGTATCATCCGTATCCATACTCAGGCTGTGGACAAATATCCATCTGCGGTGCAGATATCACACGCTCTCAGGCCACATCCTCTTCTACCTCACCCACACTTGCAGGCACGCTCAGGCCCTGCCCTGCTCATGGCCACGAAGGATGGAGCGATGCCCAAGCCCTCTGCTGCCTCAGCCAGCACCCGCAGGAGGCTCAGCGAGGGGAGGAGGGTGGTCAGTGGATGTTCAGACCAGCACCGCAGAAGAGATTCAAGTGTGTAAATACAGTGTTAGGAGAAATGTCTTAGGGCAGCCAGCCTGGCGTTCCAGGGGAATCGTCCTCTGAGACTCCAGGTCCTACAAAAACCTAGAGAGGCTCATCAGAGCTCCCAGGACCATGACTGTACCCCCAGAAGCAACAGCTCTGGTCTGCACAAACTTTAAAAAGATACGGTCAGCTCTACATCGCTGCGGGGGCATTGCTGCTGTTTATCCAGTCCAATGAGGGCAACACGTATCCTGCTACAGTCAGGTAGGGAAGATTTGTAAGACTTGTCCTAACTGTATTTTTGTAATCACACTCTTCCTGTGCACAATGGTCACTGGGTGTAACTGTAAATAAGGACTGCTTTCATCTTGAAGTTCAAAATGACGAGGTTTCTCCATTGCTTATGTAGCAATTGCGCAGAGACACAGTGGGATGAGAGCTGCCAAGGCCAGCCAAGGGGCTGGTGTTCTTGGGAGGGTAGCTCCAATTATTGGTAGCTCCAAGTATTGTCTATCTTACTTTTACTGTATAGTTCACCCTTGCAAATCAAAACTGGCTTCATTACAGCATACCCATACAGTCAAATCTTTAGTGTTTGAAACTGAGAGCACTTTCTAGGTTTCAGCATAATTTTCTAGGTTTTAACATCAGTTATTTTTCTTAGGTAAGCAACACCACTGCATTCATTTCACTGAAAGAGGAAATGTGGCAGAGGTGAGGAACTATTCCAGCACCGTAAAGGGAAATCTTGTGATGCCTTCAAATGAAGCTCAGAAGATCCTGGCTCCCATTCATAGCTCTCATTTACTGCAGTCCAGTTCTTCATGTTATACAGCTGTATGTTCTGCATAGATCAGCCACAATATTAGAAAGTGGAGACAGGGTGACAGTTGCTTGTTTTGCTTTTTTATAAACAACATAGCTGGCTGTAGCAACCTCCATGGCTCAGAGGGAAGGACATCGGCTGCAAGAGAGGCGCATTCAGAAGAGCCCCTGGAAGCCAGTCTGTCTGTACGCTCTTCGAAGGTAACCACGCTTCCTTGGTCTCTGTAAGCAGAGACAGTCCAACAGGATGAGATTTGATTTGATTTGATTTGATTTGAAGGGTGAGCTCTGGAGTTAACAGGGAGCTGTAACCTAGCAAGGTTTGTTCCTCCTTAGAAGTTACATCTTGTCCCTGTGACCAGCAAGAGCTCCCAGGCCTAGGCCAGGCATCTCTGGGCCTTCCACAGATAAGTCTCTTGCTTCTGGAAGCTGCTCCTGGCTTCAGTCCTTGGTGAATTCAAACACAGTAAAATCCCTCCCCTGGGGCATGGGTTTGCTTCTTTGACAAATGGCTGCTCCTGCCCCCCTGCCTCCACGCGACTCTGCTTCCGCTGACCTTGGACCTGGACCACCCTCCCCCAAAACGTTAAGCAAAATGGCATTTTAAACACAGGGAGATCCTTCAGCTGTAAAGAACTTTCTGAAATGAGAAAAAAATTAGAGTTTATATCATCAGCAAATATATATTTATATCATGTGCTGGCCTCAAACCGTATCTAACTTTTAACCAGGTTCCTTACGAGAGGGCTTGTAGCAAAGATCAACCTTAGAAAGGGAATCCATAAAAAGGTCTTAAGACCTCTGAGTTCTGAGTAAATATGTGCTGAAGAAGCTAGTTTTGATAGTGTTCTTCTCAAAGTAAATAATTTTTAACCTTAACCTTTACTCAGTGCAAGACATCGTTTATTTTTCAGATATATATATTAATTTTCAAAGAAATTGGTTGTATGTGGCAAGCAAAATCAATGTATGATGTTAAGGTAGGCAACATCCTGGTATAATTGCCTCCTGCTTTTCTAGTATAGCTTATGCAAAATTTTTTTGTGGCAGAAAATGATTTCATACTACATCAGTTATATAAGGTCTGTTTACAGAAAATGAAATCACAGTTTTGATCGCTAAAGCTCAGTACCAGGCTATACGTGGGATAATTGTAATTAGAGAATACTAACTTGTCCTCAAAGTGCCCTGGATCCACCAGAACTCATTTAGGGGGTGTTCAAGCCTCAACCAATAGCGGCATGTGACTGGAACAGGGATTTCTGGAAGGTGATCAGCAGCTGGACTGGAACCTACTCAGATGAAATCCTGCTCCCTGCTCTGCATGTTAGTATGCTGGGAAACAGTACTGCTTTCACCAAAATATGAAATTGAAAGAATGGAGCTGGGCATGATGACCTATGATGAGTTCTGCTGGTAGATCCTGAAGCCAGGAAAGACCGCAGTCATCTGGTCCAATCCCTACAGCCAGTTGCTCAGGACCATGCCCAGATGGCTTTTGCGTATCTCCACGGGTGGAGACTCCACCACCTCCCTGGGCACCCCGTGACAGTGCTCCTTCACCCTCACAGTGAGAAAGTGTTTCCTGACGTTCAAGAGGGAGCCTCCCGTGTTTCAGTCCATGCCCACTGCCCCTGGGTCCCTGTTTAAAATGAACACCTAACACGCTAAGCATCACCTCTGGCTGAATGGCACTGAAATAATTTATTAATGTTTACTGTTTGGTACCGTGATCAGTGGCAGCCTGTTAGTGGTGAATAGCTGAAACACTTAAACAGCCACTAGGAGAATGGCAATTAAAGTGGGACCTAGAGAAAAAGAATGTCTTTTTACTGCTGTTAAGTCCTTGCAACCCCCTAGTGGAAAATCAGTAAACAGCATGTAAGTTCTGCAACATTAATAGTACCCCCCTTAGCTACTGACAGCACAGGCTCAACCCCGGCAAGGTAAGCAGTTACATCCCACAAACACCTATGCAAGCAGATCTCCAAAAGGGCACGGTAAGCAACCTCATCATGCCAAAATAACAAGGAAACGTGTTACTGTTTGCACTTACACTAGACTTGAAAAGGACACGCCTTTTGAAAAATGGGTATAATCAGGCTCCAGCAAGATTGGAGACAGCTTGCCTGTCACCCCAAGCAGAAAGTCACAGCATCTATGGGGGATCCACCAGGATGGATGGCTTCTGTATGCAAACATTTGAAAATGCTTATACTATGAAATGGGAAAAATTTATAAAACTGGTTTTAAACCAGTGAAGTAGTGCTTTGTTAGTTTCATCAAAGCCCCACTGTTAGGATTTTTAGCTTCTTCCCAACTTGCCCATTACTACCACTGCCTAAATGGCAGTTCCAGCCGATACCCAGATTCAGATTAACACACAGTTTATGAACTGGAATGGAAATTACTCCCTATGTCCCTGGCCACAGCAATAATTCCAGCTCTGTCAGGGGAGCTCCCTACCGTGGGAAAGCATATACCTCTTTCTTTAAAGGTCTTCAGGGTGTTACTCCTCCAGCAGATGTGTTAAACTGGGAAAAGAAGAGAGGCTACAAGTTCCAACAGCATTTAGCATGTGGGTGGTCTTGCTGTCGCATGTGCAGGCAGATGATGCACGAGGATGTGGCACATCCCGCTAACCCAACATGGGGAAGGAAGAACAGTTAATGATAAAATACATCCTTTCACTAATCTCTACTGAAAAAATAGCTCCAGTTACATTGAAGAGTTTGGGCTAAGTTTCCAGCACTGCTCCAGAAATCTCAACCAGTATTTACGTTGTCTTGTTTTAGACTGCCACCTCATGGCGACAAACAAGCTCGTTACTCAGTTGAGCCTGACTGCTGCCGGCCGGAGCAGCGGCGCGCTCGGTGACTTGACAGCCACAGAGTTCAAACTGCCCGAGATCAGCATCTGATACGCAGGTTTCTGCAAGAATCAAACCTTCCCTTCCCCTTCCCAGTGATCCTTCCAACGCTTGTCCCAGCTCCACCTCGCTCACAGGCCAACGGGTTGTGCTGCTCTACTTCGGCATCTCTGGTGCTCTTCCGGAGGGACTGTTTTTTAATTAATTTTTTTACAGAATTGAACTGCACGACCTGGATCAGCTCACTAATTGCCGAGAACATTTTTTATCCTAGAGCCTCATTTATGTAGATTACTGAAGCTTACTGCTTACTTTAAAGTAACTCCTTGCTGTAGCTACCACGGTTCATAAAGCACGCTAGGCAGAACAAACAACGGCAGGTTTGTTGGTTTGTTCCCGTTTCTTCCTTCCCCCTTCCTTCCGATACAGATCAATGCAGTCAGTGCTCCCTCACTCAGTCCTGGCTTTCTTCCAGTATTGGTGAAGAAATTATTTCTTGTAAATTACTTCCCTAATAGACAGATTTTCATTCTCTCTTTTCAACCCCCCCTGGGGATTTTTTTCTTTTCTTCTTGGGAACCTGGGGGGGAGGGGGGGAAGACAGGACACAACCAAACCCCCAGAACCACCACCAGTGCTCTTCATTTGACTACCTTCTCTAATAAAACAAGCAACAGACTTTAACCCTACTCAAATGCCAGTAAGCCTACCACACTCACTCCCCAAGCCACACTCAAGAGGGGAAAAAAAAAATATTGTTAAACTTCTGACCATCCACCGTAGTGAGCTATCATATGCAAGCAGAAAAAGTTAATCTAAAATACTCAGTGAGAATGACACCAAGTACACAATATTAATCTGCACCATTTCCATCAGTTTGGACTCACTCATCTCTTAAGCAGAGGACAGGCATATTTGCAGTTTTAGTTACCTGAGAGCTTCCACAGGCTGCTTCCATCACTTCTCCTGGAGCAGTAATCTTTCATCATTTGTGATAATATTTTGTGGGTTTTCTGTATGGAATAATCC